TGATTATAAACACCATCCAAACCAAGAGAGCTGGGCTACGTTTCACTGCTGGGCCAGGGTTGGGAGGAGGGAAGGTTAGGGAAGAAGACAGAGGGCCAACCTCCCTAGAATGCTACCATGGAGGAACAAATGGATACACATTGAGATGAAACTTTCAAGTTAGCTGCATGAGTTTTGATATTCTGGCTCCTGGGAGAGAAGGTTTGATTCTGGAAGGACATCTCATATCTCTTGTCCTTTCGTTCTTTCTCAGGTTAAAAACATAAATATTAAAGCAATGCGATGTAAAAATGTGATCTGGAAAAGACATATCATGTATATTATATGTATATATAAAGTATGCAGATAATATACATTATATAAATATATGTGCATATGTATATACATATATATGTTTATATTATATACATACAATGGATATTATATGTGTATGTATATACTTATATGTATTCATAAGACCTCCGAGATCAAATTTTAATGGAAGTATCTGATTATAGAGCAATAGTCAACATTCACTCATCAATTTGATGAACAGATCATGAGAAGCATAGTCTATGCATGTAGCACTGTGAGAAACAAGTGGGTGCTGTAAGTAGGAACACAGAGAAATTGGGCTTCCACGGGAAACTGCTATGTAATGCTACCAGAAATCAACAACACAGTCCCCTTAGTCCTGCATCCAAGGAGAGAAGAATGCAGGCAAGATCAAAATGTAGTGGAGGTTTAAGAAAGACTGTTGGGATGAAAATGCTTTTATCCTGACTTTAGTTTATACTGGGGCATAAGGGAATCAGAACATTAAGTCCTGCCCCAGGACTATCCCATAGGGAAAAGTCACTGTCCAAACAATGAAGGAGGTTTATTGAGTTATGTTTAACCTCTTAGCCACGGTGCATTCATCTGGGCAGGTAAGTTAGAATGTATTGTTCTGAGATCTATCAGTTGGCCCACCTTAGGTTTTTTCATTCTTAGATGGGTGAGACAAGTTGAATTATAAAGTTTATTCTAATTTAGGTTCCCTTTACATTTCTCAGTGGCTCATGGCTAACTACTAGCTATCATGTAAGATTAATCTTCTTGTAAACACCTATTGTGAGTGTTACTAAAATCAATTTTCTTTTCAGCCCACGTTAAAACAACATTGAGAAATACAGAAATGAGTAACTATGAATATATTTCTTTGAGTTTTCAATTGGTTTGTGTGTGTGTGTATGTGTGTGTGTGCACGTGTGTGCTAGAGCACTAAGAAACTTGGCTTTCTGACCCTCTGTTGGCACTATATTACCTGAGCAATGTCTCTAGTCCAGCACTTTGCTGTCTATTTGGAGATAGAATCTCCAGGGTTTTTCTGCTTGAGCTGGCTTTGAACCACAATCCTCGAAGTCTTGGCCTCCAGAATAGTTAGGATCTCAGATATAAGCTGCTGACACCCAACTTCAATATGTCTTAATGATGTTTCTTATCCTGATGGTCCTTTTGACAACTATTTCGTTAATTTTTGTATTTATTTGAGATAGAATAAATATTTGATTAGAATGCAGTTCTTGAGCATCTATGTGAGAAAACAAGATTGATTTATGAATAAATGTCCAGTCATGCATTTATGATACTCTCACCAGTTTTTCAATTATGCATTCTATTAAGGAACTAGACATCAAGGTACAAAGCACGAGTCTGAACACTACAATTTGCTCAATTCTTTTGTTCAAGTTTCTCTAAATGTACCTGACAAACGGGGTGAAGACAAAGACTTTGGCATTTGAAAACAAAGAAACAAGAAAAAAGGCAACAGTGCTTCTTTTTATTTTCAAAGCTGTATTGGGCTTTTATATAGTTGAATCTTGAGGTCTAAATGACACTCCACTGATTTCTGACTTGTAAATCCTTGTAATTTGAATGAGAATAAAAACACTGACTTTGGCTGAGATGCTTTGACATATATCCCTGCCTTTCAGATGTGAAAAAAAAACAATCTATATAAAACAATTTTCAGACCCAGTTTAAGTTTGAGAGCTTCGTTTTGGCTAGTTACAATTTCAATAGAAGAGAATTTTCTGTGTGTGACAAATGAACAAAGAAAATAGAAGGAAAGTCTTGATTTATACCATGAAAGAAAAATATAAATACAGGTACTAAAGCAAACTCTCTCACAGTTTTGGTTAAAATATGCAATATAAAGTGAGGTGAAGCAGGTGAACCCTTAGGTTATGAGACTGTGACTTTGAAGAACTAGCTCAGCATTTTCTTTGAAATTTTGAATATTCTGCTATGGTGTTCTTTTCTGATACTGGTTTCATTTCATTTGGCTCAGGGCACTGAAAAGCAAGTTGGCTAAATTCTCCCACTCTTATGATTATGCTGGAATGTCTTGCTACCTTCAAGATGTTTTTAGTTCTTATATTTGATTTCAGGATAATTGGGATTTCAGTGTCTGAACAGGTTCACTTAGAAAGTTGAGACATCTCAGAGAATGTCAAAAGTCTGTCTTTCCTGGCCTCAGATCACCTCATAATATGCTATAATTCATGGCACATATTTTTGCAATTGAATGGTATCCAAGAACTGTGATGGACTCTACCTATGAGAAAGTAAAAGAAGAAGAGTAAGCAAGCAAGGATATGATTGCTTTGTATTTCCTGTACATTCCAGGTAGATGCTGGAGGAATAGAGAAAGCTACTGAGTAAATAAATAAAGTGAAATACCTACATAACAATATGCTAGATGCTAGGAAATCAAATTGTTAAAATGGGAGAGGTGCCCAGTTTGGTTAATCTTGAACTTCCCAGCATGGGGGAGAGAAAGAAAGGGAAAATGTCAATTCATATATTTAGTAAGTAAGAATAGTCAACTGCTACAATTGGATGGTTTTTAGGGATGCTCAGTTCTATAATCAGGGTTGGGTGGAGTTAGTTCTATGTGCAAAGAAGTCTTAAGGTGAACATCAGAGGAAGGAGTATTTGAGACAGAATTGTTTTCCTTGGATGAGATAAGATGCAAAAGGTTTAGCTACTGGTGCTGCCCCTTGAGTACAGTGGTCATCAGAGAGGAATGAAGCTAAAGAAGAAAGGAAAAATAAGATGGGAACAATACTTAATGTCTGTGGTGGGGAGCTTGTATGTTACTCTGTGTATAAGCAAGAGGCTTATGGAAGTACTTTGTTCAAGCATAAACTATGATCACATTTACTTTCTGAATAGATGATATTGGTATATAAAGATCTTGTACTTTGGGGGAGTCAAAGACAAAATCTCCATGACACATTGCAAAAATTCAAAGTATAAGATTTGATTGAACCAGAGGGACTGCAGGAAGCATGGTCCAAAGTAGAAGAGAAAGGAGAATTAAGATTTTCAGAAATAATGTCTCCTGATTGATGGATTTAGGAAGTCTTAAGGGAGGAATGAGGTTCTAGTGATTGGTTGAATGGGTGATTGGTAGATGAAACCACCAGTTCAGTATTTGAAATGTTAAAATGATGCTATTCATGGGACAGCCACTGGGTAAATGAATTTAAGGCTGAAGAGAATGGTCCGCACTTCAGATAAAATGTTTAGAAATCACTAACAACACAATAACTTTTTTTTTTGGTCGGTTGTGAGGCCTGAACTCTGGGCCTGGGCATTGTCCCTCAGCTCTTCACCTCAAAGCTAGCGCTCTACAACTTGAACAACAGCAACACTTCTAGCTTTTTCTGCTTATGTGGTGCAGAGGAATCAAACCCAGGGCCTCCTGTATTCAAGACAAGCACTCTACCACTCAGCCACCTTCCAAGTCCCCCACAATAACTTTTAGCTGAATCCTCTGGATTAAGTGGAAAGCAAACAAGAAAGGACACAAACAATGTGCAAGGCATGCACAAAGAGCAGAAGGCATAAATGACACAGATATGAGCTTAGAGCTAGAATAAAACACAAGAAGGTTAATGATCAGGTCAAACAAAAGAACTAAACATATAGAAAAATGAGTAATGGATGAGTTTTCAAATGCTGAAATATGTCATTAACTTAGTCAGCTAAAATGTACCAGGTGATTTTAGCACATGCAGTATAATTTATTTGGCATAAGGACTAAAATAAATGAAAGATGTGCCAAGAGGATAAAGGTGAATTATGTCTTCAAAAACTCCTTTAAAGACAAAATAATGGCATTTGTAGGGAAATGTATGGAGCTAGAAGAAATCATGTTGAGCGAGGTAAGCCAAGTGCAAAGAGACAAATGGCACATGGTCTCCCTGATAAGTGGATGTTAAATCCAAAATGTTAGGTGATATCACAAAATTAACAGGACTTAAGAAACAAAGGATTTCCGCATGCTGCTGATCACATATATGGTATATATGTTCACACCAGAGGGAAACTAGGAGGAGGACACAGAACTAGAGGGAATCAGGGAAAAACATAAAACAGCAGGACCCATCAGCTGCACTGGACATTGACTAAAATGAACTAAGCAACTCAATGGCAGTGATGGGAGGGAGGGAACAAGTGGGAAAGAGGGAACAGCTGATGCTATGCAAAACAAAAGAAATGTACATATCACCCAATGTGGAAGAAATAACCGTATCGCAACTCATAAATGTTATAGACCATGATAGGCAATTTGCTCCATGAAAGTTAGAATGTGTTTGTGATTTTAACTAATATACCACAATACTGTGAAATTTGGGAAATTATGTAACCACTTAATCACAATAAAAATTTTGAAAAAATTAAAAAATTCCTTTTAAAGATAAACTCAGAAAAGATAAAAGACTCAGAACTCATTGAGGTATTCTTTTTTCCAAAGAGAAAACAGTATTTCCATTGACTTGGACATAGCAGGGGTCAGAAACAAAATGTTCCAGTGGGATTTGTGTCCCTAGGTTACCTTCTCTAACACAAGTCTAAATGTTTAACTCTCTATTAAAAATATGTTAGAAAAAAATTACTCTAATTTCTTAAAAGGAATTGGGGGAAGAATTGACTCTTGTTTAACAGAAAGTAATTTGTTGCATATGCAGAATCCACAGAGGAACTGAAAATCCGCAGCCACAGCACGGAGCCTTTACCAAAGTTGGACAGCAAAGACAGAATGCACCATGGGACATCTTCCTCCAGAGAGCCTGTCAAAGCTCAGGAATGGGACGGAACCCCGGGGCCACCTGTGGTCACCAGCAGAATGGGAAGATGTTCGGTGAGCCCCACCTTGTTGGCAGGAAACCATGGTTCAGGTAAGTAGGATTACAGTCTTCCAGATGGAAATCTAGAAATTACTTCATGCAATGAACCCTTAAGACAGCATACCTCTCGGATGAATCTTTCTCCACTCAGAGAAAACACATAACTAGTTCTTCACATAAAAGAGTACAACAGTGCTTTGGAGTGCACTCTGGTGTGACTGTGCATAAAGATGATAGGTAAGAAATTGACACTTCTTAGAGCTCTGCAGTGAAATAGCTGGATAATTTTAAAGATTTTTGCACTGAAGCCTTTCAGAAATATCAGTAACTTCAGATAAGGGAATATTCATTTATGAAGTTTGGCTAACTTTGTGTATGTGCTTGTGTTATTTTACATAATATTTCAGGCAGTTGGTAAAATTTGATTAAAAGGGAAATGGAGAACAGAAATATATCAAAGGTGAGCTGAAGGTAGTAGAAAGAACAGATAATTTGAATAATTTGAGTCATCTGAAGTAGTGAGCTGAGCTATCAGTTACTGATCATCAGGCACCATGCTAAGTTTCTAGAACTAGTCAAAGGAGAAAAACATTATCTATGTACATCTAAATTTCATATCTTGAAATTAAAATATGCCATGCAGTTTTGTAAGGGGAATAGATAAATATTATTAAACATCAATTTTTAAAAGCAGCACATGCTTGCTTTGAGCTGATTAATTTACACGCCGGACTAAATTGAAATACACAAATAATTGGGGAGCTTCCTGTTGTTTTCAGATTTTGATTCTGCAATACTCTGAGGGCTCTGAGAAAAGACCTGTCCTGCAGTGTTCTTCCCAACATTGGTACTCATATGAGAAAGCAATTTGCATCATTTCAGCCAGTGCTCTCGTTCCTGACAGAAACATGTCGGGGGGGGGGGGGCATGGTAATTTTAACAAAATGAGTGACTTCCCTTGGAGACAGGAAGCTTGGAGGACACTTCTCTGGGAAAGGATCCACAAGAGTTTCCACAGACTCCAAATGCAACGTATGGCTCTGATGATGGAGTTGTATCATGTAGCCTAGGCAGACCCAACCTTACAGCATACATTTAAAGCCGGTAGAAGAAACATTAAGTGCATTTAGAATAAATTTTAGAAGACATTTTATGCTCTAGTATAAATTACTGAAGACATATATAAAGGGACTCTTTATTCATTCTGTCAGATAGTAGTTAACACACACACATACTTATTGCTTGGTTATCACTTGTGACTTGTGATTAGTTTGGGGCTTGTTAGTGTTTTTTAAAGAATTAGTGAATTTGTACCAGTTCTATATAAAATGTGTGGGTAATATAATAAATTGTGATCACAGATATATTAATAAAATTGGAGGAAATAGTTAAATGCCTGTGTTGTAACAGACGTTGTTGTGGTGTGTGAATATAATGAATAAAATACGTTTGTACTTGGAATAAAATCTAGCATAGGAGAGATAGATAATGCAATATATTGTGTGTTTTAGTCAAGGTATCACCAAAAAATAAAAACAATGTCATGGAATATAAATAGGTAGGTAGGTATGTAGGTAGACAGACAGACAGACAGATAGATAAATAGATAGATCTACATATATAGAGAGAGAGATATACAGACACACAAAGAGATTCTTTGTAAGTATTTGGCTTAAAACTTAGGAATTTCATGATCTGCTTTCTACAAGACCAGAGAAGCCAGTGGTGGAATTTAGTTCAAGTTCATGGCCAATGCACAAGTCACAATCTGAGTTCAGAAGTTCAACCATCAGTACCAAGAGCAGGAGAAGACGGATGCCCAAGCTCAAAAAAGAGAGAGTGAATTCATTCTCCGTCTTCCTCTTGGTTCTGGTGTGGCCTCACTGTTCCAGATGTGGCTCACCCACACGGGTGAAAGTCCTTTTCTTTCTGTAATCTATCAATTCAAATATTGGTCTCTTTCAGAAATACCTTCATAGACACACCTAAAGTAAGTTGTCCCATAAAATTATCCATGTTATACAAAAAGCATAGCATGCAGAGAGGAGAAATCAGTGAACTCTTCTGGAGAGATTATATTCTTTTGCAATAACTAATCAGGGAAAAATAATCATCACTAAAAGAGGTAAGTTTTGAGCTACAACTTGGAGCATAGGAATTTTCTCACTAGGATAAATGAGAAGAAAAATGTCTGCTTCCTGGATGAATGCTAAAGATCTGTGGGAGACAACTCAACATATTTTGTGTGAAGGATATGGGGAGATTGATGAGAGAGCCTATAAATGTAAGCAGTGATCAAGAAGATCTGTGTATTAACTAGAAATAACTGCAGCTATGGAGCTGTGATTGACATTGTCTTACACAATGATGACCTTTATTAGCTCTCTCCATCGAGTCTGGAAGCAGGCAGCTTTAGGTGTTTTGCAGATGCTCATAGATGTCATTGAAGCTTCTAATTCTTCTGCACTAGAATTGAAGCTTATATCCATGACCAGCAGCTAACCACAGTTAGGCACACAATGCTCTAGTATTTTCTCTCCCTTTCAGCTAATTGGAAACATGTCTCTGTAGCAAACCACTGAACAAAGAGGGATGGGCTTTCTGTGAGTTTATCAAAGGTTTTCCCCACCCTATAAGTCAAAAAGACTATCTCTTTGAAGAAATGAGAGGGCAATGATATACAGAAGCAATGAGCATTAGCTGCCACATCTTGGTTAAATTCTGAACATGATGAGATGAACATTTGATAGTCATTTCTTTAAAGATAGGAAACAATTTAATTTGGTTTACATCCTGGATGACCTAATGATGACTTTGTCAAAGGGTCTAAGCTTGAGGGCCAGGGAGGCCAATGCAGATATATGATGTGAAGTAAGGTTTACAAGGGAAAGTTGAGATTTAAATTTTGTCTGTGCTTAGTTGGAAGTTCTCTAACACATCTAATTGAGAAGCCAGTAGACATCTGGAATTTTAGGTCTTGAGTTAATGAGATTTTGTGGAGCTGGAGATTGAGAGTGGAGACCTTTGGATTGGTAACAACTATAGATTAAATGGGCCTAAAAATTAGAAAAGCTAATAAGAGACGAAAATTGAGATGGGACTTTGGTGAATAGTGATATTCTATAATGTGGGTCCAAAAAGAAGATTCTGGAAGATGAATGGAAGTGACACAATTATATGGTCCCACCACTGAATTCTTATTGAGCACAGTAAATTTTATAAAAACTATGTTGCTAACACTTTGACATGAATTATTGTTGACATTCTGAAGGTAAGCAGAAAGTACACTGTATTTTCACTTTCTTTTGCCTCAAATACCAGAAGCATCTGTTTTGGACTACAGCACCTCGAGCCTGCTCTCCTGAGTCTTCAGCTGTTTACAGAGTAGAAAATTGTCTACTGACTAGAAGGAATGGCGTAAATACTTTCACTTGCTTAGAGTCTCCAGTTTAGGGTTTGAAAGAGTTCATTATATTAAAGTGGAAGTAGAGAGGATTTTGGTTAACAATTTGATCATGAAATTTGTATAGCAGTATTAAAAGAAAAGCCAATTGTAGAGGCAAAGAGAGGGTCACATGAGTCAGGATTTCTTAGCTGGCAATGCAATTCACATGAGCATTGCTATTACTTGGACCTTTAGTTTGCCATTTTATCATGTTTTCAGGAAAAGAAAAAAAGAAGAAAAGGCCAAACTGTGTGATATCAGTGCTTATTTTCCTGAAGAAAAATACCTTAAAGGTATACTGTACTACGACTGCCCCAGTTCCCCTTAGGGTAAATATGTATAAAATTGAGGATCCGAATGCACTCAAGGTGAATGATCTCACTTTTAAATATTTTTGTTTTAAAAAATATGTTATACTGTTTATAGCTTTTTAAAAATTAGCATCTTTGCATAGTTATACAAATTGAGCTTCCATTTAACAAAGCAGTTTATGAATAGAATGTACCTTTTTCATTTTTTTGTCAGTCGTGGGGCTTGAACTCTGGGCCTGGGCGCTGCCCCTCAGTTCTTCAGCTCAAGGCTAGTGTTCTACCACTTGAACCACAGCGCCACTTCTAGTTTTTATGGTGGTTTATTGGAGATAAGAGTCTCACGGACTTTTCTGCCTAGGGTGGCTTTGAACCATGATCCTCATATCTCAGCCTCCTGAGTAGCTAGGATTACAGGTAGAATGTATGTTTTAAACCAGTTATGTACAGTATTTTCACCCATAAGAGAGAAAATGGTCCACAATGAATGAGAGCTCCATAAAGAGAACATTCTGGATTTGCTGTTTTGCAGAAGTGAAAGAGCCAATATTGACAGTTTCTCCTTCATCTTCAGGCTTCTCCATTGTTATGTCTTTGCTCCTGGACCTTGGAACTAGCAACTCCCTTCCAGATCAGTAATCTATAGCCTTACTCCTTCACTACAACTAACGCAGAGATGAAAGTTATGCACAGATATGCCTCTTTACTTCTATCACCTTCCCTACTCAAGGGATCTCTCTCTCTCTCTCTCTCTCTCTCTCTCTGTCTGTCTCTCTCAGTCTGTCTCTCTCAGTCTGTCTTTCTCTCTCTCTCTGTCTGTCTCTCTCAGTCTGTCTCTCTTTCTCTGGCTGTCTCTCTCTGGCTGGCTGTCGTTCTCTCTTGTTTTCCCCCTTCCTCTTTCCTTTACAACAGACTCACACACATTCACACAAAATCTTTTACCAGTCACAGACGATTGCTTTACCAAAAGTAGTTTAGTCACTTGCAATGGTTGCTCCGTAATGGCTCTTCTGAGGCATGGAGGAGTTGCTGGAGTAGAGCACACATGTCAGGAGATTTCAGTTCTAATTAACATTGCCATTGGTTACTGCCATGGTTTATTAAAGTTACGGTTGTTTAGTAAATCAGAGATTCTCCAGAGGGTGATTCCTGGAGACAGTGGAGAACTGGGACCTAAATACTTGTGGAAATAACAGGAGAAGCTAGGGAAATTATGTAAGTACACGTGACAATAACAAAACACTCAGATTTCAATCATGAAATCGATTTATTCACAACTCTTACCAAACTCTGGTATA